TAAATTCAAAATTGAAAAAGGAGACACAATTGAATTTCTTTGAGAGAAAAAAAATATATGTATATTATTGTTTATTCATTGACGTCAAACATAACATAATGTAGAATAAAGAGTTAAGAATATTCTAGACATGTTCTCTCAGTGTTTCTTGTAAAAATAAAAAACGAATTATTATTGCCAATTGCCTTTTATACGAAGAATTTATATTTGAAATTGTTTATTAGTTACAATAGTTCATAGCAGAAATAACTTTAAGTAACAGACGCTTATAAGATTTTGTTAGAATCAGTATCCTGAAATGTTTTATTTTTATTAGCCAATCAAAATCATTGTTTTTATTCACTGCGGAGATGGTGCAATCACTAGTTTATAAAGAGCGAGCGCGATAAAGAGTCAATTTGGTTTCGTCCGTGGGGAAGACCAGCGCTGTATTATATTTACTGGTACACAGAATCTCAGATATCTGGTGCTAAAAATATCTTGCTGTTTCTGTGAAACCTCATGGACAAACGTTTGACTAAAGAAAGTTTGAGATATTGGTATTTAATTTTAGGTATTCTGAATACGTCTGTGTATAGAAGGGAACGGCGTAGTAAAAACATAGATATCTGACTTTTAGGACGTTTTGCTATTTCTGTCAAACCTCTGGATGAATGTGTTTGGAGAATATATATTTAAAGTTTGTTTGGTTATGTCCTTGTAAGAGTCGGATCGTAATGATAGTAACATTTTGTTGTACACAGAAATTTCAAATATCTGGTACTGAAGTGTTCTATCGTTTCAGTAAGACCAGTCGGGCCAACGGTTGAAGAGAAATATTCGGATTGAATTTAAAGATTATAGTTAGTAGTACACAGAAATCTATAAGCTATATTTATAAAACAAATAATTAATTAGGAACTATTTGTTGTTATCAATGTTTGAAGTAGTGTATCTTTAGAAATGAATGTAGGATAAGAGATGGTTGAAATGTAAATGTAGGGGATGAAGGATACGTTAAGCTTAAGAATGATATTAGGTTGAGAACAGTTTTTCAGTAAATAAATTATTTCTTGAAATACATATTTTTGATAGATTTTAGAAATAGATTAAGATTGTTATTTTGCAATGAATAGGTTTTTTTAGTTATTTAGTTATTTTCCAATCAGTATGATAAATATCCCGGGAAAAAATAACACGTATTTGCATTTAAGAATACTAAAAATGATTAGATTTAATTTTGTAGCAATAGATAAATAGTCAACAGCTCGGTACACGCTACAGTTGTTATTTTATTCATCTTTGAAAATATCAAATTTGCTATGAACCTTAACATTATTTAGCAAATAAATGCCAACAATTATTATATATAGATAATGTTAAAAAGAAAAAATGAAACATATAAAAGTTGTCCCTTTTGTGTTTTGAACCCACGCCCCTTAATTTCAATGTGCGTACTTGACAAGTGATTGTAGCCTATTTGAATACTCTTCAAAATGGAAGTTATGCATTACCAATTGTGTACCTTAATTCAAATTCCCTTTTGCGACTGTTATTATAACCGGACACTGATTTGAAATACTAATATTTATTTTGCTATTTTTTACTGTCAGCTAGTGGAGTTGATGTGGAGTTACAGGAGGAGGATGGAGTAGCTGTGGAATTTCTATGTAATATAAACATCAAAACTGTCCTAGATATCGAACATACAATCTCCTGGGAAAGAAATGGGACACAACTTGTAGAGGGTGATAAATACGAAATAAGCAACAATACTCTGCAAATCTTCAAACCAAGTAATGATTGTCTGCAGTTTTTATTATACATGTATTTATGATATACTGCTACCATGACACAATAAGAAGCTAATTCAATCTTGATCATTTTCAAAACATGTACCAGTACATACATGTATAATGATATTGCCTTTGCGCTATGTTAACAATACTTTCGACTTTCTTCCTATATTCAACCTTTTCAATGTTGATTCTTATAATATTATACAACCCTGCATTTGCAATAGCTGAGTGAACCATTTTCTGTTGGTTTGGATTTTAAAATACAAAGACATAGTAACGGTCATGTGATGACCATTTTGACTCTAGAAGTAAGACCAAAAGTGCCCATAAAATTTGTGCATTCTATCCGACACGAATTGGCACCTGTGTATAATGACCTTCCGTAAGCTGCGTGGATAACCTAACCACAAGGAATAATCCAAAATATCTGACGGGATTCGAACCCACAGCGGTAAGGAGCTAGTGAACTGAACAACCGGACAACAGAGGCTCGTTTTTTTGTAAAGTAAATAGTAATACACGTTATGTTCAGGGCATATGGAAATTGAACCGTCCGTCGACTGATTGCTGTGCTGAATATGGATAGGGGACTATCCTAATGTAAACAAAACACCTGCGAGATCAACATAAACCAACAAGATAGACATGTCTTGAGTTTTACCTATACCAAAGGCCTCATAATTTACAAACTTATTTATAAAGTACATGATCTTTGCAAGTAAAAAAACAACTAATTCTGGCTTCATTTTTTTTCAAGTTATTACGCTTTTAAAACATTTAACTTTATATATTTGAAGTTTTATCTGTACTATACACACTTTTTGTCAATACAAATTACATGTCAAGTTATGTAGGCTTGCTATTCACTTTTCCCAGTTATTTCCCTTTTAACCACTTCGAAAATAAAGCCTGATATAGTTAACTTAGTCCGGCATGTTGGATTTTTCTGTAAACTTTTCTTAAAGCTTTATTAATTTAATGATATTTTTCATATTTCTTAAGTTCATTACAGTTATAGTCCCGTAACGTTTTATTGAGTGTGGGTGGTTTTGGGTAAATGTTAAGGTCACCGGTGCAAGTTTTAACACTTTTGCTCACACATTCTTTATTTATAAACTGATGTCTGTCACGGGACGTACCTAGTGATGTCTTGTTCGATTGGTGTAGCTAGGGGTTATTTGGGTCAAGGTCAAGATCACTAAAATCGATTATTAAACGTTTGCTTATATAGCATTTAATAATTGATAGTTTTTCATCTTTGGAAGGAACATACCTTGGATTGTCCAGAGTCAGAAGTCACAACTGCAACCAATATATTGTTTACGATTTTTCTTCCACAGCCTATATTTGTACCATATTTGGAAAGAACATATCACCATAGTTGGTTGATTAAGTTTGAATACTGAGTTCAAGGTCAATGTCTATATATTTGATAAGCTGTTACTTGTAAGTTGAATATATTTCAACATCATCAGTTAGCAATTATACGTCACTATTAATGTTTCACATTAACAACAGTCAAGCCAGTAAATCTACCAAGTTACATAACTGTAGCGGTTTTAGCAAATTGTCCAAAACTCTTTAAATGGGTAAACGTTTTTTGTTTTCGTGAAAATGTTTCTTCCACAGCCTTTATTTGTACCATATTTGGAAGGAACATATCACGTTTGAATGAGGTTTTAAGATACTTAATTCAAGGTCAATGTATATATATATTTGATTAGCTGTTACTTGTAAGTTGAATATATTTCAACATCATCAAGTACCAATTATATGTCAATATAAATGTTTCACATTAACAAGAGTCAAGTCTGTAACTCTGTCAAGTTATATAACTGTAGCTTTTTCAGCTTTTTTGTCCAAAAGTCTTTGAATGGGTAAACGTTTTTTTGTTTTTGTGAAAATGTAATAATTTTATTCAAACGTGAATCTGGGCCGAGGATATTTATGTTACGGTATGAATGTTTTTTTTTTCTGCGGGAATTTATTTCTGCGTATTCTGCGATTAATTTCAGCATCGCAGAAATAAAATCCGCAGACTATTTCTTCAATTTTGTTTTTTTAACCTGTTACGATATGTGTCCTATTTTTTTATTATAAATACCTTTTTTCTTTAAATGAAATAACGGAAAGGGAAATTATAATGGTTTGGCGGGTATGGGAGTTTAAAATTTTTTCTTTGGCTAAGAAATGCATGATTTGGGGCTTTTGGGAAAGAATGTTTTTTTTTTAAATTTATGCAAAACTTGTGAATAAAGTTTTTTTTTAAACACAATACAGTTTAGGGGGTTTTGCTGAGGAGAAAAAGGGGTTTTTTTTAAATGCTTTAAATCATTTAAAACCCATTTTAACCCTCACTTCTGCAAAAAATAATCGTTTTAAATATTTAATTTTTCCCCCGGGGTTTTATATTTAAATTTTGGGGAGCCCTTCAGAAAAAACCATTTAAAATACGGTAAAAAAGAAAATTTTTTTTTCAAAATTACAATAACATAAATGAGGGTGCAAAGATCAGAGTAGGCGAATCGTTTAAAATAATAACTAATCCTGTAAACATTTAAACGAAATAACAAACTTTTCAGCATGTTAATTTATAAATCATCATTAAAAGAAGTTCATTCTTCTAAAATTCGAGGAATTATTTATTCTAAAATAATATTTGCAGGCACGAGGCAGATTTGGGAGCATATCAATGCGTTGTAGTTATGTTTCTACCCTCTATGGTGGAGAAACAGACTGTCCGTGATCAAACCCATTTTTAACCTTAAAGGTGAGTTCGCATATTTACCCTTTCAAAAAAGTCCCTTTAACTAAATTGTAAAGTTCTCATCCTTATATGATATTGTATTATTTAATTGGAAGATTCAATACATTTATTTTCATAGAATGATAATGGCTGCCAAAATAAAGCACCAATGGTAATCGTTGTTATTAATGAATAAAAGAACAAGTGTATTGCTACATATCAATTTAACTAGCATATCCTTTTACACTATAAGATGGAATGAATCTAATTTCTGTAAACTATCTGAAACTTAAAACACGTAAACCTTACTCCCTTAAAGTAAACTAGTTGAACTTGATAATTCTTAAAGTAAACATATGACCATACTTACGATTGTTACTTATAAGTATGTAGCACAAATGATAACTGTATAATACAAATTATCTAAACTTCGCATGATCATATATTATGATAGCAAAAACATTTATTTATAATCGAGAGTCACTGGATCTTTTTGATTTTATATGCAGCATGTCCAAAAATAGAATCTCATGACAGCGATAAGAATATGGTTACGGGTGACAATCTCGAGCTAAAATGTAAAGTTTCTGGCTACCCTACACCTATTGTATCTTGGTTCAAAGATGAGAAAGAGATTGAAACTACCATTAGGATAAATATACTTGAATATGAGGGTGCAATGGGCAAGTTGCTGATTACTTCTCTTGAGGATGAAGATGAAGGTATCTATAAATGTCTTGCTAAAAATGAAGTGGTACCTTTCAATGCAGATGCAAAGATGACAGTTAGAGTGGACGGTAAGAAGGTATAATTTGATTATAACCACTGAGAAAATGTCCCTATGTTCGTAAATAATTGCAACAGCACCATTTAAAATTATCTTTAGATATCTGAAGGCTCTCAATTTTTAAAAAACGAAAGTTTAATTTAAAATCATGTTAATTTTCATTTTTTACCCATTTTATTAATTTTTTGTTTTTCATCTTTCCTTCAGCATCATGTATTTATTATAGTCATTCCACATACAATCTTTAACATTCTTTATGAAAAAAGAGAAATTGAATACAAAACGCACGCGTTATAAATAAGAAAAATATTCAACTTTAGAATAAATGTAAATGAAACATACGCATCACAATACATTGACGTTTAACTTTATCACATAAAGTTCCAACGAAAGTTTGAGCACCCTTTATATATTCCTATGATCAAATATGTACGACGTTTGTCAATAAATAAAGACTAAATGAGCACAAGCATGAAATTAACTTTTACCATTTGTGACATATCGTCCCCAAACTGAATCCACAGTTGAAAGACCATCTGTTAAGAAATGTTCCTGCAAAATATGTCATTAATCAAGAATAAAAATCAAAGCTGTATATTAATCAAAACTCTAGGAATTCATTTAAAGTGTTGGTTACCTTGACCTTAAAGCCAATGACCCCAAGCTTTACTTAAAGATATGTACCAACTTGGTTACACACTTTACTCCGTGTAAAGGACAATGAATTGTTAGAAGAGACTGTTTTACTTTGATACTTTGGATATATTTTGTCAAAAGTTTAAGAAAGTTTAAACATGTATGTAAACCATTTCTACAGACAATTAATTTAATACTTATCTCTATTTGTACTTTTTTATCCTTTATTGTATTTACGCAAAACATTTCGTTGAATGAAAACTGTGTTAATGTTTAAGATATGACATTATTTATTAATCTCATCAAAATAAAAAGTTTTGAATACGAATTTGCAATAAGGTTAAAAGTTATAATTATATAACAATCATGCTGTCTATTCAGAATAAATGCTCCTGGGAGCTTTAAAAAGTTGTTTTCAAACTGATATGGAATATTGCTATGATTATAGGTAAAAGTAGTGGTAACAGAGTTGATGTTGGAGCCATAGTCGGGCATATGTTTGCTGCATTAGCCTGTGTCGCTCTCATCGTATGATTATTACCTTGTTTTTTGTCTACATTGAAAAAAGGAAAACTGAAGGTAATATAAATTTATTTGTTATTTATTACATTTCCAAAGTATCATGAAATGGTTTGTTGTTCCTACAATCAAAATTGCAGTTTACGGGTAGACACATTTAACCCTTAACAAAAATTCGGCTGACAAATATTGAAATATTGCTTAAGAAATTACATCTCTCTGACCGGTTTTAACCGGCTATTTAACACATTTGTGACGTTTCATACACATTAAAACTCCAAACCAGTGTTGTACAGCCAATAAGTGATGCTCAGATCAATAATTCTTCGATTTAAACATTATTACGAAATGAAATGATAAAGATAACTAACGCAACCGCTTTTTATACATAGGTATTCTATTTCGCATACTGTGGTCGCTAAATTAATAAGCAAAAAAAGTTAAAGTACGGTGGCATAGAGGGGAACATTAGAAATATTTTTCTATCACGTGCGCACGCGATGGAGGACATCGGAAATATTTTATCTTTCACGTGCGCACGCGATGGATGACATCAGAAATATTTTATCTATCACGTGCGCACGCGATGCCACCGTAAATGAGGGAAAAAGCTGTTTAATTTATGTATCGTTGTTCTATTTTTGACTGTTTGATATAAACAATGTCTACCAGAATTTACGGATTTGAGTCATGCAATAGCAAATGGTTACTAAAGAAAAATCCGACAATTTTGATATTACAAAAAATTATATTTATTTACAAAGAATATATTGTATACACGATAAAAACGATCCCATGACTTATAAGAATAGATATATTAATACATAACTTATTTAAAATGTTTTTTTTTTTTTAAATGATGAATTATTATAGTAGAGTAACATTGTATAACGTAAATGGCAAATAAAGCTCACTGTTGTTATGAAATGATTTCGAACTTTGATATGACGTTTTAAATCCGTTCATTCATATATATATTTTCAGTCAATAAAAGTATGAGATACTCGGACAGGGAACAGTTGCACCTCACATTTTAATCTCCTACGCAGTGATATTATCACCTTATCAGTACAGTTATCTATGCGACCACAAACATATTATAACAATATTTTGTTAAAAATATTCTTCAGCTTCTGATTTTTTATTTATTATTTTGTATACTTTGGATTATTGTTTCCATAATGTAGGTACGAAACGTGAAAAAAATTAGATAAAAATGACTTTGGATTTTCTATGTATCGGTCGCTATTTACATTTTAATTTTAATGATACGTCATGTGACTTTCATCATCATATCACGTCTGTGAAAGCAGTGATTACAATGTGCAAAGGGAGGCAATCACTGTGAGAAGTTGTTTGTCATAGATGTAAAACATGGCCAAAAACATTTGTTTACATAAGTGACAACTGTCTAGGACGTCTAAGATTTTTACTTTACATACTTAAACAACCTATATCTTACCTATGATTTGTTCATATTAAATTGTAAGGTTCTGACAAGAAAATAATATGTAAATGCATCTATTTTTGTTTTCAGGCATTCAAATCATCTTTATAGAGTGATAAGATTATAGTTTTAATAGACCTGACTGTGCATTATTTTACTTTAAATTAATAAACATCTTAAGTCTTAATATACGAAAAAGAAATTGTTTAAGGACTTTTTATTTTGATGTTTGCATAATATACATGCTTTTTGTGACGGTTAGTTAATTTGGTTAACAACCTTCTTTGTCCAATTTTTGACATATTACAAATAAGGTTTATATTTATTATGCTTTAAACATGTATTTTGCTGAATAATATGCATGCATTATAACCAAAAACTTTTTCTATTTATTCATTTACATATTAATTAATTGATTAATTAGTTATTTTTATTTTCTTATTTTTTTTTGTTGTTGCTTTCCTCGTGAAACATTTTCAGGTGTCATTATTTTATTATAGAATGTGTATGTCGGTGTTTAAGATAATTCAAAATCATTTTACACTCATGTAACTTATATTACGGTTTATTTGTGCTTCAATAGAGCAATACAATAAGTTCGCTCTGAACCAAATAATTTAAAAAGATTTCCAGCATTTAATAAATGTTATAATGTTACAATAATAATAGAATTTTTAGCATAAATTGCAGGATTTTAAAACTTGCTTGTTGTATTTACCTTTTGATTTACGGGAATATCAACTGCAGTTTATAAACATTCAATCAAATGTTTTGTACAGATATACAACAAGCCTTTTAAGGGTCTCCAATTAGGTCAATAGTCTTAAAATATAACATTAGAAACTCTGGTATAGGTAAACTGGTGTAACGTCAACGGAAGAATTTGGAATAAAGTCAAGAAATTTGTTTTATCATGTAGAATTTAAATCGTTTTAAAGTTTAATGTTTATTCTTCTACTTAGAGCAAAAACCATTTATTAATAAACTCTTCATATTTTGTCATTTTCACAATAAATAATTGCTATGCAGAAAGAGAAAACATCATATGAAATCTTGCATGAAAGTAATAGGGTTATGTCTGCATGAAATCGTATACAAATCTCGAAAAAAATATTTTCAGGTACTTAATGTAAACAAACCTCTATTGAGTCCCTTTTAGTGCATTGCGTTTGATTGTATAATTATGATTGAAGAGAGATTTGTCATTCTGTACAAGAATTTTGTGAGAAATATTTCTAGTGTATTAATTTAGATGTTCATATCAATAAAACTAATCAGAATAAAGTGTTTTTGTCCTTTTTTGTCCATGTATTGTTTAAAAGAACTTCAGCAGAACAATACTGAAATTCACGAATATGTATAAAGAAAATACAACACTCAAATACTTGAATTATGTCAACACACATTTTTATGACTAAACGTACTAAACAATTTTGTTTTCTACGATTATTCAAAAATGTGTTTTTTTCAATGTTCAATACAAAACAGTTTTAATAAACATATGAGATAAATACTTTATTAGATATACTCTGTACTAAATCATTTGAGTCATTTTTGCTGATTATGTCATTATAATGAGCTTTACTTCTCTTATAAGATTAACATGAACAAAGAAAAAGATCTTCTCAATGTCACAATTTCTTGTTGAAACAACATGCACGTTAACAAAGATGTACTTAAACTGTACAATAACAAATCAGCTTTTGTAGACACTGTTCTTGATGATATAAATTAACACGCATTTGTAAGTCTTGGCAACATCACTTTCTTAATTTTGAATTTTCATGGATTGTATTTGCAAGGGTTATACAGACTAATGCTCCCCAAGCAGAATTATGTTGGTTTATTTTGTTGTTGTTTTTTCATTTACATTTCAATCTGTATTCAATTCTAATATCGGTTTGTTCTAATTGACTTTCAGCTATACTATTCCGGTAACTGTGATTTGTGTTTCTGAAACGATTTTTTAATTTTATTCAGAATATATGGATATTGAAAACATGTCCAACAACTATTTATTTGATATCATATACTATTGTCATTTTTCCTGCACTAATAACCAAGACATTCAAAAATGCATGAAAAGAATAGCTTTACTTGGTGGTATAAGATTACTAATACTTTGTTTTTCTAACAGTTAATTATTTAAGTGGCACCGTAGAGTGTATATGGTATATGCAGTGTTAATTTAAACAATTGTATGGACATCTTGTTATAGACAGAACTACCATTAGACTTGTCTCTCTTTTTTTTGAAAATCAATGTGGAAGCTATTTCTTGAACGATGATATCTTAATATGTTATAAATCGCCTATTGATTATAAACATCGTACTTTAATCAAAAGGGAATGCTGAGATTTTGTATGAAAAAAAAAATAGATATAGATAATTCAGTAAGGAATATTACGGGCAAGAATGGAAGGAAAAGAATACTTATCGTTAAGGTGAATTAAAACCTGTGCACCAAACCTAACATATCCCGAAATACGAGGTAGTATACATATAATGAAGTGCCGTCATATTAAATTCTAACAATTGTATTGGTAAGAGCAAGCTAAATGATATTGCATGAAAGTAAAAAAAGTCACAAAGTCGTAGAAAGTCGTTAAAGAGTTGTAATAAAATTTGGTAGTAATTCTGAATAATACGATGGCTAAAGGAGAAAAAATATGATTTGTACAAATCGTTACAGACATCATCAGTAGAAGATTGTTCTCTGTATTTGGTTAAATTGTCATTGCAAACATCTGTTTCAGTAAGAAAAAAAGGTAAGAAAAAAACTAAAAAGAATAAACTTTCATGTTCAAATTTTAGAAATATCTGTATACACATATGTTCAAACGTTAGTGATTATTTCACCTTAAGTGCAACATTATAGTGCTCTTCTACTAATATCGTCATATGCCTGTGTTCAATAAGGAAACTAAGTAGAATGACCTTTGAAAAAAGTTCAGAGTCTATAAAGCCTGCATATTACAGACGTCAAAGTGCAAATAATGAAATCAAGCGCCATATCACATAAATGATAATATAGTGCTCAATTAGGAATACTGGAACCGCCAAAGAAGAATAACAATTAGGATCAAATGAAGAAATTTATATAACAACTAACTCAACAATAATGTCGTGCTAAATTATCATTACGGGTTATTAGTATAACATCCAGAACTGATTGAATAATTGGTGTGATTTTACGGGCTACATACGGCATAAACAAAAGCTGACGTGACATTCAAATGGAAAATCTGCCATCTCTATAAATATAAAAAAATGATGCAGACTAAGCTTTATGTGAAGTTGATACAAAATAAATGTAGCAATCTGACCATCTTTATCAATAATTACAGACATATTGTATTTCCAACATACTCGTACCTTAAAACATCAACATTTCTTCCAATCTGTAGTTTTCCATTATAAAACCTACATCTGTACTACACAAACCAGGAAAATATTGTTATTAAAGTTGAATAAAATAAATTATATAATCGGATTAAGAAGATAAGAATTCTGAATCGAAACTCATCGAAAGAATTTTTTTGACATCAACATTAAACATTTACTAATATTCGCTGTTATAGTTACTGTAACGTTGAAACATTACTCTTTATATAAACTATATGAACAGTATGTTCTTGACATGACGTAGCAGGTAATTTGCTAGGTTGAAATTGCAATACCACTCCTCCAACATGGTTCTTAACATCCTATCAACTATTACGGGAACTTAATGATACTGACCAACATGCCAAGGATACGTACAAAGTACAAACCATTTTAGTCTTTCATCAGTACTTTTAATTAATTCATTAATCACTTTATCTATTTATTTATTTATTTATTTATTTATTTATTTATCTCATTACATAATTGGCAAAATTATATAGTACAGAACATCAATTACAAAATGTCTTTAGACAGCGCTTATGTGATATGATGATTTCAAAAAATCATCAAAACCCAGGATTTTTAACTCAACGGTGGAAGTGTAATTAGCCCATTATCTGGTTTTGTCTCGAAAAGTATAAGGAAACTTTCATGTGGCGAGTTCTATTTTATTTTCATAATTGTCCAAGGCACTTGTAATTAGGCCTAATCGTGTAGTTACATCTCAATAATCAAATATCTTTAACGCAACGAATGATCTCGCGATTATCATTTTCAATATTTTGTTCATCCAATCAATATTGAGATGAAGTGATAATTTGTAACTGAATCTATAGTTGACAGCATTGTTATAACATAGTTGATCTTGAGGCATTGTTGTGTTTTGGGATTATTTTGATAATGATATTTTCCTTGTGTATCAATGTTACACATATTATTTCCTCAATCCGTGACCTTTGGCAGACAAACACCAGTAAAGGATTAGAGATCTTTAATAATGAAATTATTACACCTATAACAATCGTTGTCCGATTTCTATTATCAATGATCTAAGATATTATAATATTCGAACGAAATAACAGTGACACAAGCATCACTTTTTCCGATCATACTTAAATAACAGCGGAAATATTTAAGAAGTCACAAATTATATTGCTCTTATATCAGCAAGTAAATTTATGATAGAAACAGCGGATATTAGCCAGAAGACCTCATGTTAATAATTCATATGTAGTCTTAAAATGTTGACATGTTTAAGATATTTATTTAATGACTGTATGTTTAAAATGAAAAGCATCATTCGTTTCTCTTTCGGATTGTTTACAATCATTTTGGAAATATGTGCTATCACGGAATCGAGTAGGTAATTAATATTTTAAAGAAGGCTATTTCAAATTATCCTATTTCTACGTTTAATATATTTAAAACTGAAATAATGATGACGGTGATGATAAGATGATGATGAGTATTTTGTCAATATCATTGCCCGATTGGTAATCTTAACGATGACGATAACTGTGATACTAATACGTTGGTGGTTCTGACACTTGTTACCAGTCACGCGTAACAAGAAAGAAAAGCCAGCAACAAATGTTTAACAATTACTATTATTATAACACAATTTATTATAGAAAAGTTACAAATAAATAAATCAAAAGTACTTAAAGTCCACAACAACATGAAATAATATACAAAAGCTGTAGTTTGCTCCTAAAAATATCTCAATATCCAATGAGCAATAAATCAAATATCCTAAACACTTTTGAAAATATTTCCCACACAATATTAATCCTCACGTGTGTTTTTCTGTCTAAAGTGTGTTTTTCACTTGACATCCAAAAATAACCTAAAGATACCCCCTTGAAAAATGTGCACTTATATATACCAATTAAGAACTTTCCAGAACTTTAGATAATATTCTTTTCCTCGAAGCATCCATCAGATTCTCAATTATTTGACTGTTAATCTTGAATATTCCTTAGAAATCTAGATATCTATAAATAACTTTTATTGTTAAATATAACTACATGACATCAAACATGGATAAAATAAAACAATACAACATAACACACTGGTCATCTCGGTGTGGCGATCATGATGGTTGGAATACATTAACGATGATGTCGATGCTGATGATTTTGATATTGGTAATCGTGATAAAAAAGATTATCACAATAGCGGTGTTTTTATTATCAGCAATGATAACAAAAGGCATAGTGATAATTATCATTATTTAAGTGCTTGTGACGAAGATGATAATGTAAAAGAACTTTCGATTTTTGATTAAATGATAACAGCTTCAAAACCGTGTGTTTATGTCGATGTTCTTTTAAAAAGCCTAAAGTGATTAAAGCGAAAAGTATAACATATTGATAACTACATAAAAAAAACTTTCAGGCGTGTTAATAGACTGCTATACTACAACGCCAGATAAGTACATTGGACACCAGCAGACGACAAAGACCGGGAAGCCTTGCATGAGATGGGATTCTCCTGTTAACAATTACACAGACAGTCAATTCCCTGATGCCACAGTATCAGATGCAGCCAATTTTTGTCGTGCTGTCGGATCGAATTATGTATGGTGTTGGACGTCAAATGCATTGCTTCAATGGAGCACCTGTGGAATTAAAAAATGTGGTAAATGAATAATTGGCAGTAACTGACTACATATAAAAATGTGTATGCATTTGCTCAGTGAATATATTTTTATTCCATAATGTATCGTTTATAAATAAATGTTTAAGGTTTTGCGATTCCTCCAATTCTTATTACTGGACACTTGTAATCCTTTGAAATCAATTAAACTTAATAAAATAGTCAATTTCTGAAGAGTATAAGTTACGAAATTTTTTTTTTCAAATTCTATTGTAAAGGGGCGAAATTGTGTGTTTTTA